CAAGTGAAGACCGGCTAAACAGAGGAGATCCAAAGAGGCAGGGAGCCCAGCCCTGGGCCTTTGGATGTTCAGGGAGCCAATGTCTTGCAAGTACCCTATCCCTACTTGGACCCAGCCCCAGCCTCTGGACCCAGGACTAGGGGAGTGCTTGGGTGCCTAGGTGTAATTGGATTTGCCTGGCAGCTGTCAGTGCTAAGCAGGCCCACTCCAGGCAGCCGAGGTTGGCCAGTAATTGGTGAAATTCGCAGGTCAGCAGAGGCAGAGGTCAGGTGGTTAATGCTGTGATGGGGACTTTGATGAAGTTAGTCCCAGTGCAGGACTAGGAGCTGGAGCTCCACCTTCTGTGTCCTCACAGGGCTCCCCTGCCCTGTGGGTAACATAGTTTGGGGACTTCCAGCTGTCAGCCTATCCTGAGGTTTCCTGAGGCAGGAGCCAGGGGACAGAGCCCAGACTGAGCCAGGCTGCTTACTATCTTCTTGGCCAGGGCATGGTGTAACACCAGAGGGACCTTGACACCCTAGAGACCTTGTGGTAAGCCCCTGACTTCCTGGGGGAGGCCTGCCACAAGCTGAGCTTAAGGAAAATCACCTAGGTCCATCTCTCAGCCTATTGCCTCCAAAGCACTCCTTTTCCCAGCTCCACATCTGGAAACAGGGAGAAATTCTTCACCTCCCTTTGTTTGACCAGGCCTCACTCTTTTTCAGAACTTCCATGACTCCCCATTGCCTCCAGGTTGAAATCAAGGCTCCTTGTCTGGCTTTCAAGGCCTCTCAGCCTCTTCTATTGTCCTGAGCTGCAGAAGTTGTCCTCTGAGCATGCTGCTGTTTCTTGCTGCTCCCTGGAATGGCATGCTCTCACTTTCTTTCATTTCATATCACATAGCAGACACCTACTGGATACTAAGCTTTATCCTAGATGATAGGGATGCAGAAATGAGCTTTGTATTGAGTATTGCAGCAGGTCCCAGCTCACTTGATGCTCAGATCTTCTCTGGCCATGGCCCAGCTTCCTCTCTGGTACTGTCCAGTGTCTCCAGCCTAGGAACCAGTCACTAACCAGCGTTCAACTCCGAAATCTCAAATCACTTCTTTCTGCTTCCTACTACAGCCTCCAAGGAACAAGGAATTGCCAGCATGTAATTCTTCCAACAGATACACTCACTCTCACACACACAGCCCTTACCTCTGGCTGTAATTGCAGTTTTCATTGTCATTATTTCAAAAGCAATTCCTTTGGAATCAATATCCTGGAAGAGATTCTGGTTCAGCCACTTGCCTGCTGTGCAATCCTGGGTGCATCATTCTCTGTGCCTCAGTTTCTTCTTGTGTAACATAGGGAGTTCTGGTGGCATAGTGCCTGTGGTAGTTATGTTTGTGTGTCAATTTGGCTGGGCCTGGTTGAGTAGCTAGGCAGCTGATGGTAGTTATTCCCCATAATGAGACTGGCAGTCACCTCCATGGTGGGATCTACCACAATCAGCTGAGTAGCTGCCTTTGGGATGTGGTCTGCTTCTTGTATTTAAGGAGAAGCCTTGGGAATGGTCTCTAGTTGATGGCACGCTTGGACCCTGCATGTAGCTGTATCTTTGTTGAGCAGCCTGCCGTGCTTTGCCAACCTTGGGACATACAGTGGACTTGAATTAATGGCCTGCTGTGTGGTTTGGTAACATTGGGACTGGCCTTTTTACTTGTCAACCTTGAGTTTTTCAGCCTCAGCAGCCAGCAGGTGCCTGAGTGAAGCAACACTTCTAGGTCCAGTGGGCCGGGAGCAGGGGGCAGAGCTGGACTCCAAGGTTGAGGGGCTTTCACCCAGCCCCTAGAGCTTGGCACTTGAACTTGGACTTAAAGCCTCCAAATTGTAAGAATAAACTCCTGTTTGTTAAGGCCATATCATTTGTGGTATATTCCTGTCAGAGGGGCACCAGGTAACCAGAACATTGCCTAAGGCATTTGACTGCTAACTAGAAGGCTGGCGGTTCAAACCTATCAGCCACTCCTCAGAAGGAAGACTGGGCAATCTACGTCCATAGAGATACTGCCTCAGAAACCCAAGGTGGAGTTGCTATGAGTCAGAGTTGACTTGATAGCAGTGAGGGTTTTTTTTTTTTTTTTTTAACATAGGGTCAATAATCCCTGCCTGAGAGAGTTGTGGCATTGAATGGGACTGTGTGTATCCACTTCACTAGCCTCCTTGCTGTTCCTCAGATAGGGCAGGTTTGTTCCCACCTCGGTGTGTTTGCACTTGCTATTCCCTTTGCCCAGAATGCCTTTCCTTCAGATAAGCATATGCTGTGCATCCTTACTTCATTCAAATTTCTAATAAATGTCATCTCCTCGAGAAGGCCCTCCTGGGTCATTCAACATAAAATCCTGTGCATCCCCTGACCGGGTCTGTTTACTCTCTGTACATGTATTTATCTGTCTTCCCAAACTGGAATGTTAGTTCCACAAGGGTGGGAATCTAGCTATTTTGCCCATTGCTGTATCCCCACTGGAATTATACCTTGTACATAAATCTGTGCTCAGTAAACACTCCTGAATTGCATTGAATTAAATACTTGACACATCAGTAAGTTTGTCTCTTTCAAATAAAAATATACTTTAACATATAATTTTTAGAAGACTGGCACTCAGTATCCCACAAGAAATCAGAAAACAGTTTCCCCTTCCCTTGTTGAGGATTGGTTCCCTTCCTAAGAAGGGGAGCTCACTCCTCCTAAAGGAGATTACCTTGCTCTGACTTGGAGAAAGTTCTGGCTCTGCAAGGCTGGGACCTGCCTGCCTCTGACACCACCCATGGCTTTTGGCCCCAGGCCCGACCCCTAAGCCTCAGCTCCTGCTCTCCTGGCCTGGAGAGACTTGGGGAAAACTACTGGGGTCTCATGAAGCTAACTTTCTCTAAGTTGAGTCTTCCCAACTCCTCTGAGGATGACGTCTTCAATCCTCTCCACATCCTAGCCACCTCCTCTGAACCCACCCTGGCCTGACCCTGCCTCTCACCCAGAATCTAGACCTGAGCACAAAAGTGGGATGAGTAGCTCTGAGCAGACAAACTCCTTTCTCTGAGAGCATATAAGCACTCTCAGGCCCTTCTCATTTAACACCCTCTGGGCACATAATACTTGTGGCCCAGTAAGACCTCCAGTTTCTTTCCTCACCCACTGCTGAGCCAGCCAGGTCTCCCCAGACTGACTAAGGCCTCTGACTCCCTTTTTCTATTTAACACAGAATTATGACATTCACTCCAGTTTTAAGAGTTGGACATCTTCTTGTTTCTAATTGGGGCAACTGCTCTTGGTCGCCTCCCCTCAGGCTGAGTGTATTTAAGAATGTGAGCCTGAGTCTCCTGTGTCCTCCTTCAAAGGCTTGGAGCCAACATGGAGGAGACAAGGCTGAGGACAGAGCCCCGTGGTCCAACTGTAGAGACTTCCACCAGGCTCGCAGACAAGTAAACATGCTCACACAAATGTGTCTATGCACCACTAGATGCTGGGGGTCAGCAATGAGCAAAACTAGTGTTGTTATAACCCAACCATCTTCCACTATCTGTGCCACACACATGTAGGCAGAAATGTGTGCACAGCGTCCATACCTGTGTGACCCTTAGGCCACAGTGGATCCCATCTTCCCTTTGTAGGGCCACTTGACCAGAGTCCCAATCTCCGGAACACCTGCCTGGGGCCCTCATCTATGTTCACTGTATGTTCATGTATTTGTCTGCCAAGTACAGTCACCCTGTAGCACACCAGCCTCCCTCCTCCTCGCCTTTGCCACCACCACAGCCCAGAAACTACTTGAAGATGCTCACCACCAGCTCAACTGATGGTGCCCACCATCAGAGCACCATACCAGAAGCTACCCCATGGCCATGACGATAAGCATGGCAGAGACAAGTGGAAGCATCTGTCCCAAGCTGCATATCTGGGACCTGAGCAGGCTCAGCTCAATCCCATGCCTCCTGCTCTAGCATTACTGTTTCCCCACACAGACTGTCTCAGCTTTGGCCTGCCTAGGACAGCCACAAATCCCAACACACATGTACACACACACAACCAGAAATGTTCACTCTTCCAACAGGTGGACATTCATCTCTGTGTGCAGGTTTTGTTGCAGACTCTAGGGACACGATGAGGATGAAGCAAGGTGGGCCCTGCCCTCTGGCATATACCACTCAAATAGTCACCAGAATGAACACACAGATGTTGGTAAGGACCATGAAGAGATAGTCAGGATCTTTGACAAAGCAGAGTGGGGTGGATGGAGACTAATACAGAACAGAACTGTCAGGGAATTGTTCCTTGAAAAAATAAATTTTGAGCAAAGGGCTGATGCACCAGGAAGAATGTCATATGCAAAATGTGTGAGGCTGAAAAGTAAATGCAGTGAAAGAGCAGAGGGTCTAGAGCCTCAAATAGTGAAAGGTGAGGGAAGATGAAGCCAGGGAGGTGGGCATGGATTAGGCCACCAAGTCACCAGGTGAGGGTGAGGCACAAGGTCTTTATGCTTAGAGCAGAGGAGGTCATTGAATGTGTAAAGCAAATCAGGCAATGTGATACCACTTGGGTTTTGCTAAGGTTGCCAGGTGAAGACTCAGTGTGTGTGTAGGGATGGGTGGTGGTGAGAGTTGTAGCAAGGAGGCCTGTGAAGATCCACAGCAAAAGGATGGGTGGTGGTTATATATGAGATGGACTGACTCAGTGTGAGGTCCTAGTATTTATCAATCCATGCAGCGTGGAATGAGAGGCTAAGAGCCACCTGCAGACCCTCCTCAGAATCTAGGGTGCAGTACCCATAGGTCCACCATTCACACACATGGCTTTGAATTTCCATTCACATCTCCAGTCAGCACCAAGCAGATCTGTTAATACACCTGCCACCTGCACACCCCACAAAGCTGGCTAGTTATTTCCATGAATTCACTAGGCACATTTATTAACCATTAGCCTGCACTCATGATCCTGTAGTGGCAATGGTGGGCAGTAGGCAGTGGATGGCACATGCTCACTTGCTGTCCACCCGTTTGAGCTGCTCCTTGCCATTAATGGTCACCGACTTGAGCTGCCCATCCTCCTCAACCTCCACACGCTCCTGCCCATTCTCCACGATGCGTTTGGTGGTGATCTTGCGTCCATTGACCATCTCGGTGGATGACATTACTGACTTGAACCCCGAGCTGCCTGAGCCGGATCCCCCAAAGGAGGTGGATGAGAAAGTGGTGCGGCTGCTACCCCCTCCATGGCCCAGCATGTTGTCAAAGGATGAGAAGGCCTCCATGAAGGCTGGGAACTCACCAAAGCCTGCTGAGAAGGCCCCACGCAGGCCACGGCCACGGCCATCATGGTCATTGTTGAATGGGTTGTCCCAGAAGTCAAAGGAGAAAGGGTCTAGGCCACCAAAAAACTCGCGGAAGATGTCCTCAGGGTTGCGGAAGGTGTAGCCAGTGCCAAAGGGACTGTTGTAAGGGGTACTGGCCCCACCACCTGCCCGCCAGCTGTCACAGCCTGCTCGATCATACACAGAGCGCTTCTTGGAGTCAGAGAGAACTTCGTAGGCCTCGGACACCTGCTTGAACTTCTTCTCCGCCTCCTCCTTGTTGTCAGGGTTCTTGTCAGGGTGCCAGCGCAAGGCCAGCTTACGGTAGGCCTTCTTGATGTCCTCTGGGGAGGCACTGGACTGCACCCCCAGCACTTCATAGAAGTTGGCCATGCCACAGGGAATTGAGGCACTGGTGGGGTGGGATGAGAAGGTGAAGTGGGCACAGGGGCCCGGGTGGTAAGGATGGACACGGTGGAGGCAGCAGGTGGGGTGAATCCCTTCAGCCAGGGCTTTTGCTGGAATCTGCTAGCTCCAGGCGTGGCTTTGCCCAGCAAGTTTACCTTTTCATAGTATCAGTTCTCAGGGACAGGTAGGGGCCTCCTCTGTGAGGAGCAGGGGAAGGGGAGGGCCACTAACACACTGGGGCCAGACCAGGGGTAGGCCCCCTTCATAGCTGAGGCAAGGGCCTTTGTGACATCAGCTCCTGGGTGTGGTAACCCTCACCCCCAGCTCTGGACTGAGCAACACCTGTCACATTGGTCTCTTCCTATGAGTGAGGCTAGGCCACCCTGGCAGCCCTAGAACATGGCGCTTGGGCTGTTGGCTGAATCCTCCAGAAGCCCAGGAGTAGAGACAGAATTAGCCATGGAATCTAGCTTCCAGTAGGCAACTAAGGTCAGTGACAGTGGGCAGGAGAGGGCTAGAGGGCTTCCTGGTTATGTGCACTTAATCTGATGGCTGGGGTTTTGGTATGGTGTGAGGGAGGTCCAAGGTGGGAGACCAGCCATGTTGGGGGATGGAGACAGGAGTTTACTTTTCTTGTGCCCCAATATCTTGTCATATCCTCAAATTTCAGCTCCAACCATAGAGGAAGAAGGAAAGTCAAGAATAGGAGGAGAAAATGGAACGAGTGGCAAATTGCCTCCATGAGCAACTCACTCCTTTGCCATGAGACCAGAAGAACTTGCATCATTACTGAATGTTTTGGTAAAAGTTACTACAGAACAATCCTGATCAAAAGGGGGAAGATAAATTTCAAGTTCTCATAGAGATTGGATGAATCCTTGAAGTTATTGCCATGAGAAAATCTTTAAAACTTAAACCAAAAATATCCCCTGAAGTCTTCTTAAAACCAAACAATTGAAGAATATCTGCCTTGAGCATTGCAATCTTTTAACTCTATCTGTATGGGATCAAATTGACAACAATAACTTGAAAGATTAGACAGAAAATGCAGAGGGCTGTGAGTTTATATTAATGGGGGAGTAATAACTCAGAAAAGGAGGGTGAGAATGGTTGTACAACTTGAATGTAATCAGTGTCTCTGAATTGTACATGTTGTTGTTGTTGTTAAGTGCCATCGAGTCATTTCCGACTCATAGCAACCCCATGCACAGCAGAACGAAACACTGCCCAATCCTGTGCCAGCCCCACAATCCTTGCTATACTTGAGCCCATCATCACAGCCACTGTGTCAATCCATCTCGTTGAAGGCCTCCCCCTCTTTCGTTGACCCTCCACCCTACCAAGCATGACATCCTTCTCCAGGGAATGGTCCCTTCTT